CAAGTGTTGATGTGAATTCATGGACTCTTGTTTACTAGTTTATTTGTTCGTTTATTTATCTCTACACTAATTAATTAAGTTTTATCAGTACTAAATAGCAACAAGTTTACAAAGACACGAATAAACAAGTTACCTCCACCCACCCCCATATCACCAATATAATTTTAATAAATCGCATATGCTTCAGCTCCAAATTTACTCTCTTCTTATACATATATTTCAACCTAATGCAATTTGCTTGGTGATATCCAGCGCTGGAATCCAGAACACTAGTTCCCTCCTGTTTGGGACTCGACAAATGGACGCACCTGCTCACCAGTGAATGATGTTGTTCCGCTGGGACTCAAGCCCAAAACCCATCGTTTCAACAGATGTCAGTCAATTCGATCCAGAATAACAACGTGAAATTTGGACCAACAACAAATAATAATAACTGATACGTGTTGCACAAGAAGTGGGTGTCGCACCCCAGTGGCTGATTGGCTAATGCTCTTGCATTTGAGGCGATTGCTGGTGGGCTGGAGTCCCAGTGGAGACAATATCACTCACTGGGGTACAAGTACATCTAGCTGATGAATCTTGAACAGGAGGAAATGCGCATCCTGGATGCCACTGCTAGCCACCGTATAGCTAATCACAACATAATGAATAGTTAGGCAATATCAAGGCATCCACATAGAAACCCATATGTTAACAGAGTTCGACCAATTTGTTCTAAAATAACAAAAGGAAATTGTAAGTATCAATAAATACCAGTGTAATAAAATTTTAATTGAGTCCTACCGACTAACAAGGCTCTCTGCAACACTGTAGGATTCTGTGACATTCCATTATTGCTTAAGTGATCTTTTTCGAAACAATTCACCTAATAACCAAATTAAGACGTGATAGCTAGCTGTGAATTCATTGGTCTTTAGTCTCATCTATGTATGAAAATGTAGGCTACCTGACTGGAACCCTCTAGATGTCGACACTTGGTGGTTTTAGACCTTAGAGGATTACAGTGATATGAATGCGTCCACTTTTTGATTTACCGTAAATTATTTGGCATCTTGTTACTCATTACTTATTTGTTCTTTAATTCAACTAGTATAGATCCCGTTTCACTGAACATACTTTAGATTCTCGTGTATATTTTCAGTGATGTGATTTTGCCGGTGCAGCTACCGAAAATGGAGCGATTTTATGCTGTATTGTCCATAAAATGTAACAGTGGCATTGATTAACATCCAATGACCTATTCATTGAAATAATCTAGTCATACAGAGATTATTCATTGCTAAAGCAACTTGTAAAGTTTTTCACTTAGATACCGAATGGTATAGTCGTGCATTGCCGAGGGAACATAAGTTTCATGACTGTGGATATGTCTTGCCAACACACATGAAACCTAGATTTAGGGATTCCTGCGGCTGAACTCTCACCATCTGACACCGAAATTTCTTAATGCATTCTACTTTACCACCCTCTAGATAGTTGTCATAGAGCTTTTATCAGTTAAAGTAACCTCATGATCAGCGAGCTGATCATATAACAGAAAGATGTGTAGATATTCTATGATTGCTACAGCAAACAACGAAAAATGCTATTAATAATGTATCAATTATTCACCAGGTCCGAAAAAATTTGGTATTTCAGTGAATAGGAAATTTCAGTTCATAGATCTGTTTCTGAAACGTGTTGATGAGTATTGAATACTTGCACTGTATTGGTCTGGTAATCTGTTGGTTATGAATAACGATTTCTGAGAAATCTCCTTATGCAGCTGTTGTATACTATCAACAATGATGACAGCAGTCAGTATCCCAATGCTGATATTCCCCGTGAAGTTGGTTATTTTGCGAATTGCGGCTAAACTACATATCATTGAGTAGCACTGCGGTCTCAATTTTACTTAATTTGTTGTTATCAGTCAACAAGCAATAAGTAACCAACATTCACTCACTGACTACTGTATTGGAAATGATATAGTTCACACCAATAGGATTTGTATTCAGTTTGCAATGAATGAGTCTTAATCAAGCACAAGTTGTATAAAAGAGACAAACTATACTCCGTATGTAATAACTGATAGACCATCATCTAATCCTCATTTGAGCTCTAGTGACTGATCAGTAAATCGCATCGCATGATAATATCTACGGTTAGCAACTATCCATCATTACTATTAAACTGGGATCGCCAGCAATATTGAGGCATTCGCCCACGAGCTCATATGCCAATACAAGTCGGTCAGTTCGCTCCAGTCAGAAACGGTTAATAACAAACAATAGCATTAAAACTATGCCTATTACACAAGCGGTGGCTATAGTGACTCAGTGGCCTAGTGGATAACAATCCGACGTTTGGAGTAGTCTGTCCTGGTTTCTAGTCTGAGTGAGAAGGGGAACAGCATCACTCACTGGGTGGCGCGTTTCCAAAACACTTTTCGTATTATTTTGTTGGTATATTTAACACCTCATAATTTCACATTTGTTTAATTGTACTGGCTTGAAAATTTTCTCGGCTCGTTTGCCAATACAACGTCCTGCTTTGCACCATGCGTTATCTCCTGATATTTACAGTCCAGAGGTAGTGGATTAGCAGCGTCGGAAATAATAAGAAAGGTGACAGTGTACCGTGAACCGTAGATAAATTTGGGGTCACATATCAGGGATCGACAGGTTCATCCACCTCATTACTTCTGAAAGGATGAGACGCGAGTCCTAGATTCGACTGCTGGCCACTGTTAATCACTACTATCAAACTGAAATCGGTGGGAATATCAAGGAATCCGAGCACGACCACTGAAAGTTTACTTTATTTCTTGACTCATAGATAAGGTTTATGTCAGTAGGATTACTGATTAATTCAAATGTTCATTCTCTAAACACCTTAGTTTCTTGTACCTAAAATGTTTTCAGTTTTCCGGTCATATTTATTTTCTGAGTTATCTGCACTCATTGATTTGAACAATATTGAAAGCTTGGAGTTCACAACAAAGTTAAATGTAGTTAAGTAAGTATTCTAGATATTTTCAATCAGTTAACTTTTTTTAAATGTCAGTCATACAGATGACAATCGACTATTAACTTATCTCATTGGTATTCCTTCAGGATACTACTATTATCCAGAAGATGTTTACTGAAAAGATGTAACCTCAGTACCATGGATATAGAGTTCCAGAAATTTTCAGGTTTTACTGTTAGTCAAAGAAAAACTAGGACAAAGAAGTTCTCTATCATGCCTTCATATTTCACTGGATTGTACAACAAATTCAAGATCACCGGTAATGCATATTTAAATAATCCGGTATAACGTTAGCCTATTTATAAGCCTATGTATGGCTAGCCACCATGTAATACTCCTACGCCAAGTGATGTGCGCCAAGACTGCTCACATCCTTCATCCGCATTCACTTATAACATAAAGATTCTTTTTAAATGATACTTTCTTCAGGTACCTGCTCTACGACTGATCTGTGACTTTAAAAATTTCATGTTGGACTACAGGTGTTTCTTTCCACCGAGTGAAATTCATATTCTGAATCTCATCTGAATGTGTTCAAAATGTGTAGTAGTGACTTTATTTTACAATCCTAACAGTGTATTGGTGTTAGCATAGTGCTGCATAGGTTTAGGTGACCCAGATTCCACTTGAAACAATCAACAACCTTGATCAGTTCTCTTTCATCCATTCGTTATCGGTGACATTCCATAACGGCGATTTCTTTTAGGATTCTGATAATTATCTTGACCTTACACAACAAATAATTCATAGTTGCCTTCCATTTGTTATAGTTCGGACAAATTCTAAGAGTATGTAACGTGTAGGCTGTTTTAGCTTGCTAAAACTATAAAACAGGACATTTACAATAGATGAGCAATCATTAACGGCGAATCCACCTTATGTATTTTGACTAACTTCAATTTGCTGATCTTCATCAAAGTCACTTGTACTTATAGCCTACACCTCATTATAACCACTGCCAGTATCCACCATGTTGCCATTTAAGCCTACTGCGGCAATCTATATTAAAGTATTACGATAAACGAAGAGATAAATTAAAATCATGCTCAAAACTACTCATTTTACACACTGATTGAACGGAATAATGACAACTAATGTCAGTCACGTTACATAAAGCTTACATGACAACATGCCGTACACTAGCAGTGGCACCACTTCAACCAGTCTAGACACTGATGAATGTTGAACAAAATTAGTTCACTAGAAATATTAACTCAGCATTATTAGGAGGCAATCCAACAGTGTATATTCTGCTTTACAATGACTGGTAGGTATTTCAGGCTAGTATCAGTGGCTACAGAGAAAGGAGATTCATTAAAGTACTCCAGAATACTTGTTTTTGGATCAATATTTATAAATTAGTCATGGGATATCAGTCGGTATCATGTCTACATTTTAGAGGATGTCTGAATTTCATCCGTAAAGGAGTGAAGCGTCAGCTTCATGAGATATATTACTGATTACTGCCTGGCGACCAATTCATGTTTCTAATTCATTTATGAAAATCAGTAACAACTTCAAATGCTCAACAACAAAGATTTATGAAAATGCTAGCTTGAAACTCTGAGACGAATTAACCTTCCTTACTATTTACCACCCACTGCCTTTCGCCATCCAGTACAGTCGATCAGAGGCTGACTGGAAGAGTTTTCCACGTGTCTAAATTCAGACAATAGAAATAAATCTATGTCAAACTTAGCCAAGAAAAGATGCGATCTCGTCTGATTCTTACTGAAGAATGATTATGCAACTCAATTCGGTACTTATTTATATACTTCACTATGAGCTACGCCTGTTGTGTGAGGGCTTACAGTACTACCACGTTGTCTAGGTTGAAGTAGGTGGGGCTAACATTCATCTATACAACTCTTTCAAGTCTAATACATTCATGACTTTCCAATACTTAATAGCCATGCTTCTTTCCGAACATACACATATACAAATAAATAATATTTACGGTAACTTGTCTGAGAGAAGGAAGCTACCTAGAGCTGAAAATTATAATTCAATACATATGAAATTTTTTTCAGAAAAATAATTAACACGAAACAAAAACAAACAAAGAGTAAATACAGAGAAAAAAACCAATCGGAACAAAGAAGAAAAACAGTTGTAATGAGTAGTTATCATTATAAACAAAACAAAAGTTGAAGCGAAGAAATCTTATGCAAACATCGAGATCTATAAAAGAACGAAAGATTTATCCAACCAACTCCGAATGTCTGCAGTGAAGGTTACTACTTTTTATTTAATAGTAGTATGTAACACAAGCTGGAAAAATAAATTAAACTTTAAGGGAAAATAACAAAAGATAGTAATAACAGGTTGGAAAAGTCATCAGATCACTAAATCCATATCCATGAGTATGAAATGAGGAATTATTTTGACACAGATACAGTGTAAACTATGCTTTCTGTCAGTATTCGATTTCACCGGTTGTTTCATTTTGATCAAAAAAACAAGAAGAAATTATAAGAATTTATGAACGGTGTAATTTGAATGGAAATACATGAAAAATGATTTGTCATGATGCATTTGATGAATACAACACAACCTGCTCTTCTTACACAACTAACTTCTCGTGTGGTCTTTTCTTTTTATGAAGAAAACTTTAAAGAACGCTAGAAATAATACGGAAAAAACATTTTTCAAAACAAGTGGTTTAGACAACAACAAGAAATGATAAAACGAGGAAGAAATTGAACATAAATGAGGTAGAATGTTCGGAAACGTGTGATTCAGTTAAGTAAGCATATCAATATATATATATATATATATATATATATATATATATATATATATATATATATATATGTATAATTCAATGTATTCAATGCATGCTTTTGTGTTTACTTGTTTTTATTTTAAAGATTTACTCGGGGCGCATTCAAGTTAATAATAGATCACAATACTGTTGTGTACGTCACACAGAAAAGAATATCAGCATGTGTTTGATATTATTACTAACAAAAGGAATAACAATTAATAATAAGCATAATAATAAACACTCGAAAATAAATTGGAGGTGAAAAAAATACACGAAACTGACAAGACAAAAAAAGAAATTATTGAAAACAAATTCTTGGAATATTGAACTATACTTTTGAGATTTCCAGAAGTTTATTGAACAGACTTTCAATTGAATCACCTAGCTGGTTAGACAGAAGGAAGATAACTGCATCTTTGGGGATTTTTATTAATTTCTGCAAGAGTGTATGTGTCATAGCCGGTGTCAGTGTTACAGTGCTGTTACTACCAATACTACTGCTCCCCTCATGGCCGCAATTAAAGCTGCTGGTAGTAGTGGTGTTAGTGGGGGTGTTGAGATTCTTGATTGGAGTAGTGGTAGTAGTAGGAAGAGAAGGAGTAGAAGGAGGAGAAACCGTTCCTGTTCTACAACCTCTCAACGCAGAGTCAGAGTTGGGCTGATCACTGATGTTTGTTGAGTTAGCCACGTATTCAAGAAGCGTCTGTTCTAACAGCTGGACATTACTGGTATACTGTGGTTCTGATCGTTCGCCTAAAATGTTTTTATAAAAATGTACAAAGTCAATAAAAATCGATGGCCAACTTAGCATAACTAACTGGTTACTGACCAGAAACTACTTTTAATAAGTTAAACAAAATGTTGAACTTGTAAAAAGTTTATACCACAACCATGTATGATACGTGCCAACTGACCACCAAATCGGTTGACCTGAGGCAGAAACAGACTTCCTCATATAGTTTTAAACTTAGTTAACATACAGTCAGGAGGGAGAGTATCACTCAGAAGTCAGTCTGATGACTTTAGACCTGTTATCGTTTTAGTTTAGGGTCTTATAATGTTTAGTGGATTATACCTGACAGAACAAACTTGTCCAGTATACACGAGTTATTTAGTGTTTACTTTCTCAAGTGACAACCGATTCACAATGACGACAACTCGTTAAATCAGTTATTCAAAGACTATTGACGACACGGACTTTCAGTTTTCCATCAGTTTTCTCTCATAAAATATATAGTTTCGTAATTGTACATCACCAAGTTGCGAAGTAATCAGTAATCACTGAATATCATTATGTAATCAGCATGAAGCACTTGTTTCAGTATCTGCCAGTTTTCATCAGTAAAAATTATTTACAGTCTTGGATAACTTGAAATATATGATCATGGAATTTTAAAAAATGGATGTGTATCTCCAACGAAACATCACGAGTAGGTTGTTCCGCAGTGGTATTCTTCAGACACCAAATTCCTACTTCCCATAGGAAAAGGAGTTTTTCAACATTTATAGTATGCACAAACGTACAGTATCTACGATCAGTAAAGAGTGCAAGCTTGATTTTCATCATAATAAAAAACGGGTATGCATGTTAAGTACAGCTTAAATAATCTAATAATGTATAGTAAACATGATTCGAAACTCCATCTAAAATAGGATACTTTGAGTACCAGTGAACACTTAACTCTTAAATGACTGTTTCACAGGTCAACATTTGACAAAATCTTCCAGTATCGAATCAATACATTACGGTACCATTAAAGACTGACAGAGAAATGATGAACCATTTATCTAAGTTAATCCACGTTACTAGCAATATGGACTTGAACTAATGTATGAGATAGGATCGAAAATTTCTACAGAAAACGTTGTTTCTGTAGGCCTTGAAAGCTCAAATCGATGAGCCAGTGGTTCACAGCCGTAAAAAAAAGAGTATCAATACTTTAACGACATATTGGTAAAACTTGGGTGCCGATGTCAGGTACAATTTTGCACGAGTATTGTTTATTTTACCTTGGCATAGAGTTTAACAGCATTATTCACTGAATAAAGCTTGCGACATGCGATACTCATATCTGGACAAACATATGTATTGTTTCTCATTCTTCACTACCAGTTGTGCTAGGACTGTCATAAATAAAGGATGGATGCTGGGTAATTTGTATTGTATTTATTGAGAATAGCTCCAATGAATAATAGTTGAACATTCAGTTCTTGTCTCTTTTCATTTAACTATACAAATCTCTACGAATCGTGCTTTAAATTACCCTGTGAGTGCGTATCATCGCATACTTTCGCTACCACCTAGCTTTTCTTCAAACGAGTCATTCCCGTTTGTCATCTTAACTAAATTCAACCAAGCTCCTACTCTTAGACAGCACTGTTTTATACAGGAGAAGATAATTTTAATGAGAGGAAACTCCTATTTGTTTCTAGTAAGCTTTGGATACTACTTACTCTAACCAGTAGTAGTCTGCCGTATGCAGACAGGATTACCTATGCAATAATTTGAACAGATCAGTATTTTTAATGACCAAAAGAAATGAGTCAATATAACTTCAATCAATCTTTCCTATTCTAGTAATACCATCATTATCTTTACAGTTCTGATCTTCATGAAATTTGAAATTGGTAATTTGATTATTAAACATTACTACATAAATCTGGAAAATAAGACTATTTGAGATAGTCTTACCAACAAATAGGCATGCACTGACTTAAAGTCGCTATTCATCACGGAATGTCATCAATTAGATAACCGTTGGAAGCCTGGGAGCTCTAGGCGGCTGTTTCTTCCTACGATGGGAATCCTCAGAAGTACACGCCCATGACTATCAAGGATAGAACTTAAAACCTTCAGCTTCAGTGGCCAGCATGTCACCATTAAGTCACTGGGTCAGAATCAAATGGCCCATATTTTCCTGTTTCTGTCATTTTGCGATATAGCATGATTTCAGTCCAATCCCACTGTTCAGTGACTAGTGCAGCAAACCAAGTCGGACGTGAGGATAGGTTCTCAACAACGGAATTAGATAGAGGTTGTACCACTTTGCAAACTGAGAGAAATAAGAAAATATAGACCACTGGATTCCGACTCACAGGTTTAATAATGAGGCACTGACCGTGGAACCTGAAGGTCCTAGATTCGACTGCTGGAGCACTGCTGACGGGTTGCATAATTAGACGAAACAGCTGCTCAAAGCTTCTAGGTTAGGGTTCTCTAGCTGATGTCAGTCCGTGATGAATACTAGTCTGAAATCAACAAATGAATCCCCACAAACCACTTTATTGCAATACACACTTACTCACTAACTCTGAATTCCTTATTAAGTCAAAGGATAATAATAATAACAATAATAATGGTAATAGCAGCAATGGCCTTGATGAGATTAAGCTATCGTGCATATTTACCATTATTTGAAAAAAGTGTCACAAGAGAAGGAGGACGTACAGTATGATACCTGTAACATTATCATTATTATTCGTACTCATTAGTTCATCTTGTTGTTTACTCAGTGGTAAGACAGTATAACAACACATAAAATTATGATACAAAGGTTAACAATACAGTCGCATTGTTCAGCATGCTTTCATTAAGAAAGAATGCAGTGTATGGTGTATAGGCGAAGAATATAAGTATCCTTTGTGCAAACAGATACACTGATACACTGAGGATTCCAAATATTTAAGGATGCCATTTAATTAAGTGGTAGGTTTAGTTAGACAATGTCTGGGTCATGTCTATTGAGAAAAGTTCATCGAAGCCTATTGGAACAGCACTAGTCAAATTTTTCCAAACCATTCAGTCCATTGTTAGTCAGGGTACGTTCAGTACTAGTCATGTTTATGGCTGACTCTGTGTGTGTGTGTGTGTGTGTGTGTGTGTGTGTGTAAATAAAGGTTAAGCTGGATCAACTGCTGTTTGCCTTAATTATTTTTGTTTATATTTGGTAATTCTGATAAAGTATACAGGTTGAGAAATTAAACGAATTAATCAGCCCCAGAATAGTTTTCAGTACACAGAGTTTACAACCCAACTGTAAACGACTTAATAGCCCAAATGTACTCCTGTTTCTGGTCTAAGGCAGGGGATAATCTTGGGTCAAACTAAGGCACTCACATTCAATTCGATTGCAAATCTAAAGGTAACTCAAAGAGGTAAACTGTCCTCAGTCTTAGTAGGTAACCGTGTATTGCACGTCTAACCATTCAGTGGTTAATACAATTATTCTTTCAGGTTGGTATTCATCATCGAGAAACATTGGGAGCTGACAGAAGTAAGAAATATGGACCACTACATTCCGACCCAATGATTTAACGGCAATGTGCTGGTCGTGGAACCCGAAGGTTCTGAGTTCGATGCCTGATGGTGTCAAAGGTGCGCACTGCTGAGGAGTCCCATGTCAGGACGAGACAGCTGCCAAATGTTCCCAGGTTTCTAGTTGTCCTCTACCTGATGTCACTCTATGATGAATACCAAACTTAAATCAATAAATAAATCCCAAAAAATCTCCATATTCAACAGTTGTTCTTCACTGACAGTGTATGATGGTTACGACAAGTAATGTAGTGATTGTCAGCTATTGGAATCCTAATACGAAGTAGCTCAAAGATATCCAATGTCTCAAAAGAAACGAAGATTCAGGATTTGATAAGTTCAGGAGGGGATGTCGTAACAACACCTCAATGATCAGCTAAAACCAGAAAGCAAGAACTTTATACGTCTCTTGAGTTTCCGGTAGCTTATCAGTAATCTCACTTCGCAATGCACCCAAATCATTTTTGAAATCAGAAATGATGTTAGTATTAATCAACTAACAAACTAACTCAATAAAAATATATTGATAGATCCACAGGAAACACAGTTCTTTTCAAAGACGTATGAGATCTCATCTCCAACTCTTTCGTCATCAAAAGGCCAGACATCACACTGCCGTCAAGAAGTTTCTTCCTCAGTTGAAATACAAGCGTTCATACAAACCCGATCACTCCTGATCTAAACTTACTGTACTTTAATGTTAGACATTTAATGACAGTCAGTAGAAAGAACTGCACCTCACCTCACGTTTTTTGGTGCTTGATGTCAGCAAGGCACATCTTCAACTTACAGCTTAAGTAAAAATCGTATTCAACGTTGCCACTAAGCTGAAATGGTACGCAAATGATCTGAAGAACTGTACAAAAACATACTGACCAGTATAGGAGGAAGATAATGCTTACATGAACTGATTTTGCTTAGATTAAACAGATTTTAACGTTTTAATTCAGGAGCTCATTCAATGTTAACTATTAGAAAAAAAATTGAAGCTTTAGGTACTGGGTTTCAATATCAATGGGATCTAGATCCAATCAGCTAACAGGATGCAACACATGTCCTAGACTCCTCCGCTAGCCGCCAAGTAGACTACAACTGAAACCAGTTGTCATGCAAGAAACTTAAAGGGAAGTTTTCGTTGTCAGCATCATTGCGCCAAATATTTTTCAACAATAAAATAGACTTTTAGTTTGGTTTTCACTGTCATTGACAAACCATTTCAAAAAAATGTTCTTGGGTTTGCCTGGGCCAGAAAAAATGAATCACAGCTATGCAATACAAGCGTATTTCATGTTTGAGTTTTATCTGAATTAGGAACCAAATGGTGGAAAGGTGCTCAGGTGAGTCGGTACTATGGTCACCGCAGAAACTTATAGAAGATTTGAACGCTGTCAGAGGCAGTTGATGTCTTACTTTTCGGACAACAGCTACACCTTTGGTACTAATAATATACAGCTGATCTGCTCACACCTCATATAATCGAGAAAAGATTAGAATTCCTACTGACCTATATATAATGGAATGATGAAAGATAAGACAAGAAACAAATGAGATCATAAAAGAATAAAATCGATGTACTGATTAGCCAGTGAAAGGTATAAGACATCATCTCAATATAAGTTGATACTGATTTGGTAAAGTATTTTGGAATGCTCACAGGAAGTGTGAAAACCGAACTTAAAGCTCACTTACAAGCGAAACAAGTGAACATAACATATCAGATGACTGGAAATAGATAAGAATGTTTCCGATATCAATACTATGTGTTATTTCATATCCTTTACGAAATAGGTCACCAAAATGTTTGCCAACTGTGGTATGAAAACGATAAATACCAGTAAAGAACGTCAAACCGGCGAAATATACAGATACGTAGGTGAGATAGAATCATTGGCTTGGCTCATTTATAAGACTAATAACTTAAATTTCATTCGATAACAAGTAAATATTATATTTGATGCAGAAGAAAAACCATGCTAATAAAATGTCACATCGATAACTGAAGTTGCAATCAGTAATTCCACTCTTAAAGTGAATAAACTTCAAAAAATAAAGCCAGATTCAAGTTGGTATTCACCACAGGCCAACGTCATCTGAGAACCGCTGCAGAGTGCCCTTCCATCTTCTTTATAGTGCGCACCCGTGACTCTATCGGAGGTCGAACCCAGGAGCTTCTGGTTTCTTGGTCAGGACGTTCCCATTGGACCACTGGGTCAGAATCCAATAGTCAGTTTGTGATGAACACCAAACTGAAAATAAGAAATCCCAACAACCCTCTAGATTGAAAACCAGACCCAGTAAGTAACACCAACTATCTTTAACTGTCATAAAAACAAACTGACTGAACCATAAAAACTTCAAATACAAACTGAAATGAAGTTTACTTCCCCTTCAGATGTATGTGACATGTTTTAGGCAAATGTATGAATAGCCACATAATCTTAGATGACCCGTAAATGAATTTAGTCCAGTTGTGCAGCTGGTGAATGACATCCTAGTGATAACGTCTCCGACTTTACTTCTGGGAAACCTACGTTAGAGTCTTTGGACGGCCACTATTTCCATTTAGGCTAAATTTTTCCGTGTAGGTAGATGATGATAAAATCATGCCATGGAAATCCATGGCTTCCTATCTATCGATTTCAGTTGTCGAACAGTGAACAAAGTGCACTTCAGTAATCAGTTGTTGTTGTTATTGTTGACCGCACTTCAAATTTGGTCGATGGAATTCCAACCACAATTAGGAGGTACATTGCATATATGCCATTGAGAAATCGAAGAAAATTGTGTATTTTGAATTATCTCCAACTTTTGTCAGAAATGTACTACTATCTATCACCTATGAAGCATATCCTTGTCGTTGTGTAAACAATCAGTTTTACACTCACATATACACACAACCTGCACCGTTTTCTTAGTGCAAGGAACTGCGACCAAACGGCATACATAGTAGTCTGTATCACGTAACGTAACCAAAAGGATATTATAGTCTTATTTAGAAAAGATTATGATAAATGGATATTTTACTGTTAGTTGGTTGAAGACAGTCAGCAGGGAGCCTCAGACTCAGGTTTCGTGTTTGTTGGCACTTGTCAGCAAGGCGTATCTCCAAGCTTGAGGAAAGTGATATCCCCCATAGGATTCGAACCCGTATCACTCACTTTTTCAGTCAGAAATATTATCAATAAGCTCTCCGGGTCGCAGCTGACCTTCTATAGGACTGGACTACTGGATCAAGAAGCTCTTCTAGCCAATCACTTCCAATCAAATAGCACCCATCAAAGTGTACCGAGATGGAGAGCAACATGATCGACGAAATTCGGTCAGTACTTAGAACTAGACAACGGGAGATTGGTTGCTCTCCAGTAACCAGTTAATGTGGATATTTTACCTTTAAAAATAATAGTTCGAAGTTGGATTTTTAACCTCTGTTGTATGAATTGTTTGTGAATTCGCCTTATTAGACAGTGTACTTGATAATCATAGCACAAAGTTGAGGGAACAACTGTTAATACTTGGTAAATTCACATGTGACTTATCACAAAAGCAAAACAGCTCAATCTGTGTAGTGGGTATGCAAAGCAAACACCGTGACTGGAGGTAACTTCATAGTTACAGATTCTTTAGAGTTCAGAAAGGTAAATTACAATCACAGTACAGTAAAATCGCTGTCAATGTAATCAGGATTTTCATTTTCTTCCGATTTAATATTAACAAGTAAAAAACTCAGCATGTGAACATAAAGTTATTCAGGTATCAAGAACTGTCAACCTCCTCTCTTTCCCGGTTTTAAGTTACAGAAATAGTCATCGTGAAGAAAAAAATTCAATGTCGTTACATATCTCAGAGAAAAGGTTACTGTTCAGCCACTGAACTAATTCTATTTCACTCAGTTCATCACAAGTACTTTGAAGTGCATGGAGATTTTATTTATAAGGTAGTATTTATCAAAGACTGACATCAGTTAGAAAATCAATGAAAACCTGGGAGCATTGGACGTTTATTGCTTCCTAGTATATGACTTCGCAGGAGTAAGCGTCCAAGACCCCGTTAGACATCTAACTCAGGACCTATAGGTCTTACGTAGAACGCGTTAAGCACTCACCCACTGGGGCAGAGTTCAATAGTCTACAATTTCTTACTTCTGTCAATTCTCTTTCAAACAGCTATCAAGTACTTGCAGGTTCACAATGGTTCTCCAACTGATGTCAGTCATTGATGAATACTACCTCAGGAAAAAGTTACTGTCTAGTGGCCATTAGTGACACACTTTGAGATGGATGCTCTGAAATGGGGTCAATCACTTGGAAGAAAAGTGGATGTCAACTGAAGATATTGGTGAATAGTCGCGCTATATCACGAAATAACAAAGACAGGAAACTGTCGACCACTGAGTAGCGACTCAGTGGTTGAGTACTTAACATATCCCCCGTGAGACCTAAAGGCCATGAGTTCGATGGTTGGCAGGGTTGTCCATACGTTCTGTTGAGGAGTCCCATACTAGGACGAAACGGCTGTCCTGTGCTCGCAGGTTTTCAGCAGTTCTCCAACTGGTCTCAGCCCATGATGAATACTACCTTATACAATCACTATATAGCACAACCGTTGTAAGCCAACTGCTGTGATAAATCAACAAGTAAATCTACTGTTACTCGCATACTAACTTATCTATTTGATTGCAAGTATATTGATTAAACGCATAAATAAAACTCACCAATAATCAATAAACCAATTCGAATTAAGTTGTAAACAGAATGATTAAATTCCAATGAATAACACATTGATGCAACAATCTGAATATCATGAAATAAATTCAACATTTCATTATATTTTTTGTCTGATTTTACTTCTTTATTATTGATTAAATATTTTCTTCCAAATTTTCGACTAACTATCAATTTCTCATCATTTACTTCATTTCCATCAAACGACGATGATGATGATGATGACAATGGTGAATCAATTGTCAATAGTTCTAACTGATGATATTCAATTAAATATACTACTAATAATCGATACCATGACATATTTAACAGTTTAAATCTTATGTCAATTGATTGACATAATATTCGTAAAATGAATGAACTTAGTAAATGTGTCATTTGTTTTTCAATACGAAAGTTTGACTCTTTCATTGTTGTCTTTTCAATGTTATTTTGAAGTAATGAAATTATGCTAACTTCAGGTTGTTTTACTAAATTAATCATCTGTATAAACCATTGTCTTATTTGGTGTTTGTAATGATGGAAACTTTTGTGTAGAAAAATTGAATCTTGACTATAAGGTTTTATCGGTGAAGAAGTGAAGGAATGTCTAGTTATATCTCTATCGTAATCAATATGATCCTGATTATTAGTATGATTGGAATGTTGATTCAATGGTCGATTGGGCAAGGAAATTGTTCTACGATAAGTACTCTTTTTAAATGAGTTTAATTTAGATAAAGATTTGTCACCGGTTTTACATTTTGATAAAGAAATTGATTTGAACAATAGTTTTGACTTTAATTTAGGTGATAAAAGTTTTTGTTTACATTCTTGTGGATTGATAACATTGGAAGTAGTCGATATATCATCAGGGGGCTGCTTTGAATTCATCAGACGTAATGATTCACTTGCCTTTTTGATACCTGAGATTGTTCCACTGGAATTAGATAATGAGGTAAGTAATTCATAGGCCAGTTCATATGCTATTTTCTCGCTGTTGCATGAATTCAACAAATTATTATTATCATTATTATTATAGTTTGGTGCACTAGCAATTGACTGCAAGACTGAAGATGCACACACAGCAAGTGCAGCTGATAACGCTACACCATAACATTCCGAGGAGATGAAATCGAAAAAATTTGCTGTTGAAGGGCTCGTTAAGGTCACAGCATTATCTACAGTATCCACTTGTCCATCAGACCTATGGACGGATGCTTCTGATGGTTTACTTTCAGGTCTGGAATTACTGTCACTAGAATGGATGGCAGAACTACCACTACTACTACTACTACAACTGGGAGTACTATTATTACTAAAAGTAGAAATAGTTTTTGAGGATAACAAAGGCAGGGTGATTGAATTATGTCTTTGAGTAGTACACTGAATCCCATCGGACAACCGAGAAGTATAATCGACGTCACCGGCAAAACTTCGCCTTCGCTTCGGTGCTATCACACCAGATTGATGAGGTAGATTATTCGATAAGCATAAGCGGTAAGAACGAGATGTTGAGGATAAATCAAGTGGTTGTTCAAAACACTCTGGAGTACTGACACTAGGTACTGTTGAACAACAATCAACTGGTGACTGGGAATGTAAAGTATGATTATTAGTCAAGCATTCATGTTTATCGAATAACTTTATCGGAGATGTTTGATAGTGTGTAAACACACTAATATTTGAAGGGCTGAGCATTGATGATGATGAAGGTGATGATGATGGTGATGAAGACGAAGAGAATTTCTCAGTTGATCGATCATAGTGAAGATGTTGTGTGTTTGTCTCAATCGACGTTCCTGGTTTGCATGAAGTGGGACAGTGTTTTGTTGGTCTAAGTGATTTACGTCTCCTTCCAGTAGGTTGGTTGCGTATTTTGCGTTTAGTATGAAAGTCTTCATTCTCTGACTTGTTAGCGGACTGAGTATTATCACATGTTGCAAACACTAACTGACTTCTCATATATACTGAATGGAAATTCTCTTTACCAGATAATAAATCATACAACAGACTGGTTGCTGATGAGCATTTCTTCGGTGTTACAACTGAGCGGTCAATACTATTCCTTCTTACATTGGAGTCGTTTTTATTCTGCTGAATACTGTATGGTGTGCAGAATTGATCTTTTTCACGATATCGTGACAATTTGGTATGATTATTGTTCCTTTCTGTTTTAGCCATAGTCTTCATATCATACTCCGTCATTAACTCCTCTTCAATCAGTCTGTGTACACGCTTTATGCTATGCAAAGCTTTCATGGTATCATTGGAGTTTTGTAAGATCTCCTTTTTCTTAATCAATTCATACTGTGAGGTGGGCGGTGAACCGTCAGTTAGATGAATTAAATTTTGTTCTGCCTCTGACAGCGATGATAATGCATCTGATGCCAATCTAATTAAAATTGAGGAAAAGATAATGAAAACACTTTATTGACTAGAAATTAATGAGGCAAATATACTGGCATTTCAGGCTTTAGAAATTATCAATAAAACTTTGAAAAACATGACATTTGTCCATATATCAAAGTATACTGAATATTCAAGGTGTATGAAACCTAACAGCTGAGCTATAGCTATTATACACATGACTTTAATTCGTAGCCCTATTGCTCACCTTCGAACATCAATTGAACTTATTAGTTTCAACTGTTACGTATTTCCCTGCAAATGATCTATAGTTATTACCATAACAGTATTACTCTTGCTAGTGTACTCTAAGAAAGCTCAGAGATATTCCTTAGTCGAGTTGAGGCGACCAGAGAGCTTTAGGTTGTACAGTCAGTATTCGCCCGCAACTTATACAGAAAGTCTGACCGTTTTTTTAGCTTTTCTGGTAAATATTTCTACGTCGAAAGTACAAAACTCACCATTGGAAACGTTCATACCTCGTCGTGAAAATATGTAGCGAAATTTTGTTGAAATAATTTACGTAAATTACTACACAGCTGTAGGGGAAATAAAAGTTCTCATATCCGCATCATCATAAGCAACCGATTATGACAACGGATGAGAATGGTAGTAAGGATGTTTGCAGCCTCCAAAGATTTCTTTAACTTCATAAAAAGTTAGTTCTAATGACGAACATTGGACCAGATACTTCTTAGTTGAAACTTATGGTAATAAACTATGATAACCACTTTTATAAGAGATATTCAATTGTTTTGTACTGTACCTCATTCTTACGGAAGATAACTTTCAACGATTTATGATATTACCGGCCACTCAGAACAAAGGAAAATATTAACCGAATCTGACATTTGTTTGCTAAATCAATTCTCAAATCATTGTACTACAAAATCTTACAAACAGTTAACTCAGGAAACATGAAGAAAAGTGAATTTCCTCTTCCATGAATTCATTTACTATGGTTGTATAATCATATTTATCAAAATTTTAAATGACTAATCAGTAGAGTCATATGATTGTTGCATTTCAAGTCCCATCTGAAACAGCAATACTCCTTGAGAACTATTGAAAACCTGGGAAACTGTGAACTATTGAACTGAAACCTAGCAGCCTAATGATTAACACATTTGCCACAAGACCTGATTGTTTCAAGTTTGATTCTTGGTGGGGTCATCGATGTGTAATGCTGAGGGGTCATCATCATCATTATCAACATAGGACCCAGGTATTACTGCGTAACGGTCCGAGTTGCCACACCTCATATCAGCACATCAAGTAAAAAGGTAGTGAGGTGAAGGATGAAGATAAGTGAATTCAGTCAAAAGAAATATAAAGTACGAGAAGAAAGGAAAGAGGAGTAATAAAATGGTGAGATTCAGTATAGCGTTGTTAAGATGAGGATAATGTGTGTATACATCTGCTCCACTGACTTCGGTTCTGAGCCATATCACCTAGGGTCTCCAACCACTGGTTCCTCTTGTCCCGTGGACCCCAACCACCTAGTCTGCATCGTCCTACATGGCTTAAACCAACAGTCAGAGACTTCATACATTGGTGCCATGTTTTAGTCTGGCCACCTCGGGCCTTTTTGCAGCCTGGGCCCACCTCAGCCAACATTGTGTGACGAGGCAATCGGTGACTAGGCATACGTAGTATGTGTCCCAACCTTCTCAGTCGATGAGGTTGAGGAGTTCCATACTAGGACGAAACAGTTGCCCAATGGCTCTCTAAATGATCTTAGTCCTTGATGAATGCAACCTTAGAAACAGCCTTCTACTATTAGAAAAAAGGATCACATGACTAAAGTAATATTTAAGAGTTGAATAAAAAGGCTTTTCTAAAGGCAGAACAAATTACGTAGTTATGCACTATTAGCAGAATCATGATACAAGATGAGAATGAATATACTTCTGTATACGGAGGCAATTTACACCTAATCACTGTGAAGTCTTGACTCTGAACTCTACTGATCTATTTGCCAAGCCATCTAATTGATCTAATATAATGAAGAAAATTTCTATCGAAGTGAACGACTCTTCTACAAAGTATAACTAACTCATTAAAACAAAACAACAAGAAGTAAGTAACTACTATTTGTTGATATGCTTGTAATTCTTTTTTGTGATATTGCATCGGTTTGTTCGACATCTATTGGTATATGGGCTCCTCTGCAGATGCTTCAACGTTGCTTGAACGTTTAATATGGTAATTTACTTGATCGTGGCTAGCAGAGTGACCCAGGATGCGCGTTTCATCCTATTAGGTACTCGTCAGCTGCGTGTACGTGTACCTCAGTAAGTGATGTTGTTCCCGATGGAACTCCAACGTCATGCCCATCGCTTCAAATATCAAAGATTCATCCACTAGGCCCCTAATGCACACTAGCCACCTCTTATCCACCAGGAATTGATTATTATTATTTGTTGCAATTCTTCGCTGTTATACTGTATCGAAATGTCCGACCTTTGTTGGCATATGGGCTCCTATGCGTCTTGGATTCTTCTGCTAGCCTAACCAAGTAAATTATCAAGAAGTAAGTATTTAGTAAACTGGAAAATCATTTCTTTTTACTAGATGAATAATAAACCGGTTACATGCTTTTCCGTAATGGTTATTTACCAGTGAATCGTATCAAAGTAACAACAATTCGATTTATGGTTTGAGTGGGGATTTATCGATTTGTAGGTAGTATTCAGGACGGGATTGCGTGAATTAAAGAACCAGTGAAAACATGCCAGCCCTATTCAGCTGCTTCTTCTTTTTTGGGACTCTTCTGTGATCCACACTCATAAGCGATTGAATCGAGGACTGAGAAGTCTCATGGTGATCACTTTACTACTCAACCACTGGGTTTCAATCCCTGATGAGGTTGTAGGCACAGACTGCCTAAAAGTCTTAAACTACGACGGGACAGCTGTCCAGTGCTCTCATATTTTCGCCGGTTCTCTAACTGATGTCATTTCTTGATGAACACTACCTTGAGATAAAAACAAGTTAGTTTATGTCACTTTGAAGTATACAATTCACTTTAATGTGATATTATTTCACTGATAGGTCAGCAGCCAGTTGCACAGCCTATCATACATCCATTCAGACAAAAGTAAGAACCAGTCGGACTTAGTGTTAACTGTAAATGGCTAGTTTAAATATTGAAGGTGAAAGAAAACTTACCTTTTAAGAGTTCTCGAACTAGAAACTCTAATACGTTATCAGTCAAGTATAAACTGTCGTTGTTCGCCAGAAGAAAGATAGGAATCTTCAAACGGACACCCAGTAAGACATTCTGGTGAAGCATATTTGGTTTTGTTGTATTCTACTTGATGGCTAGTAGTGGAATCCGTCAGTTAGATGTACCGGCACTCCAGTGAGTGATGCTGTTCCTACTTGGACTCAAACCCAACACCCGTCACTTCAAAGCCAAAGCCATATCCACTGAGACACAAGAGTCTAATGATAAAAACGAGAAATTCTAAATCTCAAATCTAATTGTCGAGTGAATATATTTGGACAGGAAAAGGTGCCAAGAGTGAAATAGAAAACAGTGAGAAGTCACTACAGCTTCATGATAAATAAAAGGCGAACGTACCCTACATCAAAAAGATCATACTACTGTGCATAAAAAATATCTTCATGATAACTTTATAAACTAACTTCAACCTGTGCAATGATTTTTCATTTTGTGCTGATATTAGTTCATAGCAAAAAGATATTTTGTGATAGAAGAAAATACAAAACCCAGCCTTTTCTATGGAGTCAAAAATTTTTCACAATCTTTACACACTGTTTTAAACATCAAGACAATAGCTATCAAAAAGTTAGCAAATAATTTGAGCGCCAAATCTGATTCCATGATTATGAGAATATACGGTGACTTTAAAGGCTATGCTAGCAACTCCTGAAATAACCAATCAGCTTTCAGCATTTCGTCTGGGGAGGCAGTTACTTCTAAAACACAGGAACCTGATTGGTTATCTCAGCACCTGTTAGAGTGGTCTTTAAAGTCATTCAGAGTATATATATATATATATATATATATATATATATATATATATATATATAATCTCGTGTTCAGAAAAATCTTGTTTTCACTTTATGGGATTATATTGTCTTGTAATTTTAGGCGTTGACTAGACCGAACTCATGCGCCCGTCTCTATTGGTATATGAGCTACCGTGCGGATGCTTCGATATTGCCCGCAGTTCCAGTCTGAAGCGGTTGGTTTGGAGCTCAAGTTTGAGTAAGGACATCATCACTTACTGTGAGATGGGTGCACCCAGATAACGAGTCCCAAATAGGACCAAACGTGTATCTGGGATTTCATTGCTAGCACGTATCCATTATTACCATCAAGCTGGGATTATATCAAAATATCACTCTTAGCACACTTTACACACTATGTCGAGTGGTTATATTCCACTGTGCGAGATTCATGTAACACGCCCAAGGATAAATCGCAAGAAGATAACGATAACCTGGAACGGCTAGAGACTTCGCTTGGTACCTACAGATATGGAAAAGGTTATTTTCAGCATCAAACTATAGCAGCAAACGAAATCACCCTGTACAGAATGACAGTACCTTGCACAAACTACATCTAAAGGGCAAGTACAGATGTTAAATGTTCTTTAATTTCGGATATGGGATTATGCATGGTTTATTACCAACTCGGTACCAGCTTTATCAAAAGACAAGTATAGTATGAGAAAACTAGAATTTATAAAATATTCACAAGCATTAAACACCAAAACAACAAAATAAAACGGGATAGGATCATTATCGTTATATGCTTGCGTTTGTGTGTATGACAGGGAAGGTGTGAAAAGTTTCAGTAGTGAAAACAGTAGACAAAAGCTGACAACTTTTGTTGACCAAAGATTAAAAAATCGGTAGAAGGCTTTAAACTTGATTTCCATACCTGCCGGCAATAATTAGTAAGGCCTGTGGAAGCTCATGATACTTCAGAGATACAGACACCTGCATCAACCA